GTCAGTCCAAATCATCACCAGAGTCTCTGACACCCTCCATCATTACTGGAAAAATGGAAGAAACAGTGGAAGGCTCTTCGTTTGTTGGTGCCTGCAGACGGGCAGCAGACAGTTTTAATGAGTGTTTTACCCAGCAGGGGTGAAGCCACGATTATATGAAATATTTAATGGAAAGTTTGCAATGTTTGTCACCAAATCAGAACATTTATGGAAACAAAACTTTCTGCCAACAATTTCAAAATAACATTTAAGCAAAATCTTAATCATTACTATTTAATAGCTTTCAGCCTGAAACAAAACAAATTCCTGATTAGTAGCAGAGCAGAAAAGCCGGACGTAGCATCTGTGATATGGTTCTCGAAAGAATCAGAGCATCAGACTGCAACATCTCTAAGTGCATGTGCACTTTAAACTTCAATAGATACACAGAACAAATTAACAAGAATGACAAAACTTCACTGATAAGTCTCTTCCATGAGAGGACTGGTATTAGCTGCAGATCACAGATTCCTCCTCCCATTCTCTAATGAGGAAAATGTTCATTATTATTAGAGTTTCAGGAAAAAGCAATTTGGCAGAGTCGGGACAATTTACTGAGTAATGCATTAAAGAGAAAGCAGCAGCGAGTGCTCATTCACTGCAAAGGACGAAGTGGCAAAAGCAAGCAGCAGCCGTGAAGCTAAGTACAGCAGATGTTTTTGTTGCTGTAGGTTCATTTGCCTGAAAACACATCACACGCCCTTCACATTAAGAGCAGGAGGAGGCGAGATGCAAAGTAACAACAAACACAAACAACAGTTGAATTCATGTCGTTTATGGTGATGCTGTTTCTGTTTCCAAACAACACACAGATGCTCTTCTTCCTTATGTTCCCCTGAATTACTTTTTTCCAAGCAATTATTGCTGAACTGCTGGACTTTAACTCTCAAAACCTAAAAATGTCAAGAATTTAACTGAACCTGAAGCTGCATTTTAATTAGAATGTCATTCCAAAGACACTTTAGGCCATGTTGTCACCTTTTCAACACACAGATGGCAGTATTTCAACATGAAAAACGTTTTTGGGGATTTACTCAGCTGAATAACTTCTCCAAAATTCAAGTATTTCTGACAATAATAATTACATGACAACACAGATTATACTCCAGAAGGTAATCAAATACAGAAAACAACCTAAATAACAAAAAGGAAAGAATTCTTTTGAATGCACACAGAAATATGCACATGTTCCTCCCTCATATTAAATGCAAAGCAGCCATAAACAAGCAAAACTCTGTATACACATGAGTTCTAAGATATGACTGACTGCAGCACGACATGTGAATGTTGGTGCGAGTGTATTGAGAAGACAGAGCATTACGCTGCAGCTTCAGCATTCATCCATCCGTTGACAGGAAAACTGTTTTGGCAGCGGTTTTGTGTGGTCGGATCATTTCTTTTGATGCCCGCAGGAGCAGCTTGCGGCTCTCAGACTGGCTCAGAGGCAGGTCTGGTTTGTGCTAACGCCTTTCTCCTCTCACCTCAACTCTTCATTAATTGGAATTTCTCACCTCATCTTTGAACTACACTGAAATTCTCTGCATGATGGCCGTGTCCTACTGACCTCAGAGGGAACACAGAAGGCACACAGAAACACACCTGCATTCTCTTCGTAGCTGTAACCTGCAGGAACACATGCCCTAGCCCTCCTCACTCATTTCTCAGATAACTTCTCCTTGCTCCAGATAAGCTAAACGCTCTGCAATGCAAAGAGAAACATTGCATAAAAGGTGGCTTGTTCTAGTCAGTGGCCCTGAGTGACAGTTCGAGGATAATCACACAGTCACAGTGTTCGGCATCCAATAAGCTGCACACTGCTGTGCACACAAGTGGAATTTAACCAAATTTGCACAGTGATGCACAGTCTGTTGTACCAACTGTTTAGCCCAAATATCGTCTTGTATCCTCGTCATGTTTTACACATGCAGAAGAAGTAAAACGATGCATTAATTTACCCTTAAAATGATCAGAAGGAGAAAAAAATAAGCTCAACTCTCTAATTCTGAGAAAGATATAAGGTTGATTGTTCAATCTAAACCACTCAATACAAGGTGATAGATGAGAGTCTATGGGATTTTTAGGATTATTAGGTGTGTAGGGTCCACATCAGAAAGCTGTGTCTGTATGAGGATGTTGTTGATTGAAGTTAAAGCCTACAACATGAAGCTGCTTCATGTAAAGTGGTTTGATTTTGCACGAATCAAATCCCCTGTAACCATAAAGTCCTATTTTTCATCCATCCATGTAACAACCTGTTTATACTTAAGAGTATGTTGGATACAGATGACTGGAGAGTGGCCTCAGGGTGAACACTGCATCCAAACATGAAGGGTGCATCAACCCGGAGAAAACATGGCTTCAGTCGCAGCACAATCTGCACACTCAGCCTGCCGCTACCTGCACATCAACCGATGCCACGCCGTTGTCTGCTCACCAAAACGGCATCCACGGACAGAAAACAACGCAAAAGGCTGCATTTGTTTTTGTCGGAGCTTGGTGCGTGTTTGGAGCAGCAGCAGATGTCTCCGCATCTCCCGCCCTGCAGCCCCCACAGCTCCTTACCTTCCTCCTCTCCCATGCGTTCGTCCTTCCAGGTGCAGCAGAGCAGCATCAACCTCATTCACTCTCCGACACCGAGCTCCGGGAGAGAGCCAGCCGCCTCTGGTCCACTGATAACCGGTGTCCGACCACCACCGCAGCACCGCCCGGCGGTCGTGTTAGCTGTGCGTCGGTCGCTCCCTGCGGCGGCCCACACAGCTTCCTCCTGCTGCTGCTGCTGCTGCTGCACGCTTCTGCGGCGCTTCATTCAAGAGAGCCGCTGACCAATGGAGCTGCTGCGCCGGGCAGAGGAAGACACCGGCTGGCCAACCAGAAACACGCCCTGCTGGATGAATGCTTTTTTTTTTTTTCTTTCAGGGAGGAGGAGGAGGAGGAGGAAGAAAAGGGGGAGGCATAAGCAGGAAGACGGTGCTGCAAACAGCACCATAGTAACTACAAAAGTTCTGTTTCCAGCAGGAACGTTGACTCATTTGAACCAGTTATGAGAACAAACATATTGCTGTGTGAGTTACAGCTGGAGTTCAAGCAAACAGGAAGTGAAAACAGCAGAGTGCATAATAAAAGGAGCTGAAATGTCAGCTGAAGGGTACAAAGTAAAAGCAGCTGAAGTGAAAGTGAAAGTTGAATATTGCTGAATTAGGCCTTTTGTTGGTATTTTAATAGGAAAAGTAGTTTCAATGTGTCAAACTATAGTGTGCTGAAAACATCCAAAAATAAAGAATAGAATAGAAATTCTTAATTTATCCCAGATCTGGGAAGTTATTTCGATACAGCAGCAAAAAAAGAAAAAATACCAAATCACAACAAGAAAGGGCTGAAGTTAAGGATTGTTAAAAACAAACTAACTGTACAAAATGTGCAAATTGAAAAACAGTGCAAAAAAAGGAAAAAAGAAGAAAAGTGCAAACATATACATTTCTAAGTATATTTGACAAAATTTTGTCAGTTGTAGATTAATGGAAATTAGTGCATATCTGACGTATGACATAATGTACATATGGGATAATACCAAATGAGACATTGAGATATCAAATTGTCCCATGCAAGTGATCAACCAAGTTTTAAAGTGTTTAATTTGATTTTTTTTTAACTGTAAGTCATTGTTTCAAGAAAAATAAATAAATATTAAATTTTACTATTCATATCTGTACTGGCAGTATCCTCAAAATACTATTTTTTTTTCTCTTAGTTCTGACTCATTAATCTCCACCTCAGTAGGACTTATATTCACCAAACATTACAGTTTTATTCATATCTATATTCTGAAGACTTTCATTGAGGCGTAGGATCATTTATGATTTATCTTATTGACTCTTTTATTTCTACAAACATGTTCTTTTCTGGCTGTTGACAGTATTTTTTGTGTGACAAGCGACATGAAGAAACTTCCAAAATCCCCACTGTGAAAATATTCAACAGTATTATATCAAAACATATAGAAAAACAAAGAAATAGACATAAAATAAACAAAAACTAGCTGGTTTAATATAGTGTTGGATTTTGTGTAATGGAATTTTTTGCAAATAGGGGGATTTGTTATATAATACTTCATTTGCATATTTAAACAGTCCTATCATCAACAGCCACCTGGGGAAGTTTTATGTTGATAACTAATAATGGTTTTTCCTGTTCACCTGTAGTGTCTCCACTAAAACCAACAAAAGTTTGTGAAGTGTAAAATCTGGAAGTAGCTGAAGTGTAAAGCAGGGGAACAAAGTCTGCAAGAATTTGAGTGTGCAAATCAGCAGCTGAGTGCAGTCGAAGTACATTGAAATCAGCACCTAATGGAAACACACAGTTACAGGAAACAGGATCTGTTCCAGGAATGTTCAGGACATGATGGACGTGCTCCTCTGAGTGAAACTATTCCTTCAATAAAGAAATGTATTCGCATTTTTGTGTGCATCACAGCATTTTATCTACAGTTTCACATCAGTACTGTGGTATTTTTGAAGTGGGACATTATAAGACCAAAGCTGATGGAACAACTGTGTAAGCTACTTTTAAAGGATGTGGATCATGGGTCAGTGGTTCTCCCAGGAGATCATGAGAGAACAGCAGCATGAGTTCATTATTTCCAGCTGGAACAATAAGAAGTGAGTCTATAGTCACCACATAGAGACTCTGGCAAAATGTCTGCCCTTAATCTGAGGTTTGTTTTCATTACAGCAAAGAAGTCACACACACACACACTCTGATTTTAAAATACACTGAATCTGATAATCCCTGATTCATTTCGCTCTGTGGAACAGAACTGAACTGTAGCCAAAGGCTCAAGTAGGGAGGACTTGAACACCAGGAACTGATCCTACAGCAAACCCTCAGTCAGATGGTTTTGATCAATTCTCAGAAAAATCTGCTGCTTTATGAACTACGAGAAATAACAACTAGGAAGACGCACATTCTTTTAACACATTTTATTTTGTTATTTGTTGAAAGCAAATAAAATGCCGGGATATCCGGGAACAAGTCACATGTGTGTCGTGGACATATAAAAAGTGCAAAACCACACTGTTCCTCCTTATAAAAACAGTTTTAAATAAAGATGAAGAATATCCCACGTCACATAAGACAAGGTCTGACCCAGCGAGGCTCAAAGACAGTTCTTACACAGCACCGAGTGAAGGAACTGAAGCCAGCTAACTTCAAATTAGTACAAAATACAGTACACAGTTACAGAAAGAGATGGGGTCACTTGGCAACAGCGCTCATGAACCTTTGGTCAGTAAAGCCTTTTTAAAAGCAGCTCAAGTAAATAAAGAACAACAGGATTTTATGCCTCACATAAACACACAAAGGCCCTCCCGTTCAACAAAGTATTAATCCGTATTACAATTAATAACAGTGAATAAATGCAAAAGCAAAAGGATTGTTCTTGTTTCATGTTCACACATTTCTGGTAACAATAAAGCTATGAGTCAAAGCATGGTGAGTAATCAGGTAATGACAAGTTACATAAATGTAAATGAGGCTAAACATTTAAAGCAGACTAAGGCACTCTATCTATCCCAGACATGAGGACACATAATTAAACATTCAAACATACACAATGTACATGCCAGAGTAGTATCTGAATGATGTTTTAATCTGCTTGAAACTAAAAGGCTACGCTGCTTTTCCATTCCTTTTTGATTGCCTTCAGCACACCATTCTATAAAGAGCAGAAAATATTTGCCGTCATTAAAAACGCTGAGAAAACTGAACTGCGCAGCAACGAGATTCAGCAAAGTTGCTGAGAGCAGATGGGTTGGCCGAAGCCCCAATTCCCGCTGCTTTATACCCAGCAGGCCTAAAAATAGCAGCAGAGAAAACGGGGAGCCAGAAGCGACACTGAGATTGGCCAGATTTTATCATTTTTTTTGGACGACCAACCCAACTCCTGTGACATGTCAGAGAGGCGACGAGCTCTGCACAGCCAGGTGAGACAGATTCACCTTGCTTTAGGATTAAAACTAAAATCATTCGTAGGTCACATTGGCAGCTGATGGTTCAGACAGTCTTTCGCACAACAGTACAACCATATGTCCAAAGAACACGCATGCACACACACACACACACACACACACACACACACACACACACACACACACAGCAACACGTGATGACTCAAACACACTCTTTGTATTTTAAGTAGGCAGGTGCAGTACAGATAGTTAAAGCTGATTAACACATGAATGAGTAAAGGCACTATCAGTAACATACGTCACATCAGAACGTGTACAAAATTCTGGGTCGGTGGGTTTCTATAAAAACAGACACTGAAGTCAAGTAAGTAAAATACAAACATCTTTACAGGTTGTCTAATGGGGCTTTGTTTGCATATAAAATGTACATTCTAGATCATGCAGTAGCACCATGGTTTCTTGAGGTCACTGGATCTCAAGAGATCCTCTACTTCCTCCTCCCACAGAATTTGCCCTGGCATCCTGCAACGCCACCTGCAGCAACACAAAAACAGCCTAATCAGAGATGTTGTAATGGACAGAATCGCCACTTAACCACTTATAAATAGAAATCTATGAAAGTAAACTGCAACACCAAAGATAGATTGTACGATATATGTCCCACGCCTGCCCCCAAAACAGCCAAACCGGAAAACAATTAGCCAACTGTGTTGTTGCACTGACTCAAGCATTTTTTAAACCTTTGTTTAGGGGCAATGACACCAACATTTTAAAGCATTTTTTTTTATCACATTTGACTGGTGATTCTGTGTTTTAGTCCCAGTGACCAATAAAATTGTAGTTATGGCTCTGTTCTCATTCATTTAGATAGAAACCATCTCTTATTAATCTGAAATAACTGCATTACCAATGTGATTGCCAAGTTTCAAGACTTACCTCTAAGGACTTTGGTTGAGTCTCTCATTAGCAGTAATAAGGTGACACATGTGCCTTGTTAGTCCTTAAACTACAGCACTTTACACTCAAACTACTTGGATTTTGGTGATTCATCTCAGTAATGCATTGCTGTAGCAGGATTCTGTGCAACATATAAGCTCAAACTCGCTTTGTGAAAGGTGAGTGTGTGCAGCTCTTTTACCTCTGTAGACCCCTCCCCCTCCTCCTCCTCCTACACCGCCAAGGAAGCCCTGCAGTGGACCATACTTTGCTGCCTTGGCTGCAAAACAGAAGAAGCAAACAATATGGTTTTATCACGGTACAGTTTGGTGTCCAGCCTGAAGGCTGACTTTCTTTACAAAACACAGATGCATTGTGTGGCCTTTGTTTTTTAGCCAGAGGATTAATTTACTGGACACAGGATGCCCCTCCGCATCAGAGATTTATTACTATTCTTAAAATCAGAGAGGATTAAAATCTGCTTACAGATTTGACCTGATAAATTTGTCAAGGTGCAGCAACCCTTTGTTTCTTAGATAACAAAGTCATCGTTTTACTGATAATATCATTCAGGGTTTTAACACTGTGCTGACTCTTTTTCTTCTATTCTCTGAGCATACATTTGTATATCTGATTTTCTACTTGACTGCAATTTAGATTAGCTTTTGTTTTGAGTTTTTGCAGCGAAAAGATATTAATATGTAATCAGGAACAATATTCAGCATATTGAAATGAATAAAGGCTATATGATTTATCTCCTTTAGTCAAAATGTTGCTCAGGTGCAATAATGTTTAATGACTTTTTGCTTTCCCTCCCTGCATGGCTGATTGAAGATTTTGTTGACATTCAGCAACACAACAAGCATCTCCCAACAGAGCTGTTAGCAAGTAGAGACAGGAGACCTATTGATGTTCACCTCTATTGAACCAAACACAGGAGCTGGAAATAAAATTACAGATGGATTTACTGGTGGAGGTGGCAGCTACAGAACAGTTCACACAGTGTAAGTGGATGTTCAATACTGCTGATAAGGTCAGTGATGTATGGAAATGCAGCTGATATACTAAATAGGAAGTGTATCTAATCACAAGATATGTTAAGATACCAAAAACATACTGTGTTTAAAGAACCAGGTGTGTATACTGATGCATCATGATAGTTATCCATTGATTAAGTGATATCAAAATAGCACCTCAAGGTCAAAATTACCAGCCAACCAACATGCTTCCCTCGATCACTGTGTGCATGTGGCAGTCACACAGACTTAAAGGAGAATATCAGCCTTTAAAAAAAATCATAAGCAGTGTGTTGTACTGTATATCAGCCCCAAACACTCCTCAGTCTTCAACAACAAATAAGGTACAGCTCTGGAGAAGACTAGTGAGTAGACCTTGTGTTTGGATAATTTGTCAAAAATTAGGGTAGAAAAATTCCATTTGTCATGTGAATGGGTCAACGGCATGAGGTGAATATAAAAACCTCATTCAGAAATTCATGCAGGTGCCCTTTAAAGATGTCGATACCTAAGATACTGTGAGAGATTAAACCAATAATACTACAGCCTCTGAAATCGGATGTGCTTTCCATGAAATTATCCCATCAGCAGTTATATCCATGATCAGGAAAATGCAGATTATCATGCGTCCAGCACACAGGCTGTGCCATCTGCACTGATAAGCACACACCCTTCCAAACTCATCCAAATAATCTGCCAAAGAGCAGAATTTGTGAGAGAGAAACTGGATAATAATCAAAGGGGACACTTGCTCGCTGAAACAGTGCGTTCATCTTGTGCTGTTTTTTTTGGATGTGACAAGTAATGTTAGTGGATATTTGGTACCTTGCTGAGGAGTCAGTGGGGCCGGTACATATCCACCTAGACAAAGTCAAAGACAAACACAAAGACATGATGAGTTGATGCCAACAGACTAATGCTAAGATAAAACCACTTTGGGTCTTTCACAGGGGTTGATGTATTTCTCCTGGCCAGGATGTGGTAAGAACAAAACTGTTGACATTAGAGAAGATCACGTGGGAGGTACTTAAATCTGGTGCTGAGCTGTCTGATCCAGAAATACTCTCAGTGTATTTAAGATGCCAGATTTTACACAGATAATAGTGTTCTCCTGTCTGTATTTGGCATGTAAACCACACAGACTCATGATTTTAGTAAAAGATTTGTAGATACTGACACTTAAAGCTGCAAGAATTTTAGTAATGAGATGTGACAGACTGCTCTGTTCAAAACTGGTTTTGCAAATAGGTTACAATGCAAATGTAGTATTGTATTTTAACGCATTTTCTAAAGTAATCCAAACAATCACTCTCATAATTACAAGCACAGAAATGAAAAATAAGTCAGCCTCCTGTGTGTTGACAAGTTGAGTGTGAGAAATCAGACAGAAATGATTTCAAGTTAAAATTGAAAAGCCCCCTTGAAGAAATATTTGAGAAAAGCTGAATTTTTGTCTGCATTCATGAACAAATCTAATCATATTACCACAAAAATGTAGGGCTTTTCAAGTTTAATCTAAGATTTATTGGTGTTGGATAGGAGGATTTAGCAGATCTCTTTACTCTTTGTTAACCACTAAAATTATATTAAGACACCTGCCAAGTGGAAGTGTGAAAAAGCTGGAGTTGTGTTTCAGTAAAAGTGACCAGCATAAAGGGAAGCAGAGAGGGAGGAGTCAGTGATGTGTCAAAACTGCAGGGCCAGTGAGTCATTTACTAATATTTTCCAAATGTGGTTTCCTCATCCTTCACTGAATGAGATGAATGTTAGCGAATAGGGAAGGTAAAACATCCTGTCATTCTGCAGCAGCTCCCCTCTCCTTCTCTTTATGCTCTGAAGTTAAAGCGACAGTTTGTCTGTCCTTTTCTCCGTTCAGCTATGTTACCTGGCTGGTGGCAGTATGGCATTAATCGGCCTCCTGATCCAAAAACAAGGACGAAAAGTTAAAGAATTATCCATGTGCCAAATCTTTTTGTAGGTGGAGGCAGGTTTGGATACCAACAAACTTACTTTGGCTAACGTTGGGACAAATTATGATTGTTCGCTCAGTTATTTGAAAACCTTTTAAACCTCTGAACCCCAAAACCTGCCAGTAGGTTTGAATGGCATGTTTTCCTTTAAAACAGTGATCCAATCTAAACCATTTATCAAAGCCAGAAGCTGTTATGAGTGGCATGAGTGGTTCAGCTGTGACAAAGAATCTGAGAATTTTCAGGTGAACTGCAGGCTGTGTTTACACAGGACAGAGAAGAGGCAAGTATTGAAACATGTACACAAAATGTTGTGCATGTTGTTATGATTAATGGCAATATAACTGTGTCATACTTCACAGAAGACATTTTGGAGTTCTCTCTACTTCTAGCCATAGTTGTACTGTTTCCATAGAGGTGAAGGACTTTGTGTTGCAGTGAAAAATGAGCCCGTGGTGAATGACAACGTGACCGGAGCAAAAATTTCCAGAAACTGCTTGGGGTTCAGAGGGTTATTAAGCCAAGCAGAAATGAATACACCACTCTTATGAAGCAGTACTCCCTACTTTTGATTGTTTTTTCCTCTTGTCTCCTGTGCATATGTCTCCTGTCTTATGTAGCTACACACACATGCTCACACACAGAGCCGTGCTTCATGGCTTTAGAGGATTAGATTACGTTGACTAACAGTACATGAAACTAACGCTAATCTAACTCTAACAGCAGCTACTGCATCCCTAATGCTAACCTTGAGCTAATTTTGAAACATGTCCTTTAAATTTTAGGTTATGAGGACTTGAATTTTGTCCCCATAAGGAATACAGGTCCCCAAAATGTGACTGCATAAACAGATGTAGGTCCTCACAACACACACACACACACACACACATAAACACACATACACGATAACACTGCTGTCCTTTTCCTTTGTGTCCACCCTCTAAAGATAAATGGTTTAATTTTGTTAGCGGTTAGGCTGCCCGCACTGATTTATGACACAACCAGCCCACCTCAAACATCTCGACACAGAACTGTTCATTGCCAACACAAATATACATAAAGTCTGTCACAGACTCATCAGCCTGGGAAATCCGACAAAATCCTTTTAAGCCAGTAAGAGTTGAAACACTTACATGAGTGCACACAGAGAGCAGTTCTTTACCTGGGTAGTACTGTTGGGGGAATCCGCCTCTATAACCAGGAGCCACAGGAACCGCACCTGGAAATTGTAAAAGCAGTTACAATGGAGATTCAGAAATTCATTGAAGCAAAGTGTGTAATTTGACAACATGAGCAGGATCACTGAATAGAACGATTTATGTTGTTGGGAGTTGTAGCTAGATTAAATTTTATCAGGCCTCATCAAGTCCTGCATGTAAATTACAAATAGACAACCTAGTCAGAAGTGGCATACATACAGCGAATAAAGGAATACTTACCGTGAATAGATTACATACAGTAAATAGAGGGTTACATACAGAGAATATGACAACGTGACCTACTTCTCATAATCACAATTCTTAATTTGGCAAATCCTTCTGCTGGAAAAACTGTGCTGCTTAACGAAAGATGTTAAACCATCTGTAGTAGTGTTTCACACAGACGGATAAGCCTCTGGCCTCTGGGAGAAGGATCACGACCATGACTCTATTGACTAGCTTGTACAGTATTTGCGAGAAAGTGAGAGGAGGCCGAAGTGTCGGCTGTTGCTGTATGATTACACTCATCCATCACTGGTGGGCAGAGGAGGAGGAGGAAAGGCAGGACCAAAAGCCACACAGCACGAGTAAATTTGGTTGTGGTCTGCTAGAGCGAAATGTGCACAATGCTATACAACTGCCTTGTTCCTACTAAGAACATGGAAGGAGCGTCTTTTGTGAGCAAAACAGGGAAACTGAGCAGAATATATTAACAGGAATGGTGAGATTCTCACCTGGCTGATAGCCACCTCCGCCTCCAAGATTGCCGTAGCCTGTTCAAATTAAAAGCCAATAAAAATGCCATGAGAATGTTTCTGTTATTGTGATATACAAGCTTTATGAAGCTTTATGTTTCTATGGGTACAAGCACAGTAACAACCTCATCCAAATTTCCCCTGGAAGAGTTTTTGCTATTTCAGGGCATGACTCTCTGGGGGCTTGTGTTATCTACAAACACTGCGATGTTCTACAAACTAACAACAATCAGTCTCCAGCGGGAAATGATGTATTTCTTGACTTGCTCCATTTACAAACTCCTAACGGTACAGAAACACTACAGGGATTACTGCCTTTGATGGAGCTGTATTTTGAAAAAGTTTTGGCTAAATAAGTAGATTTCATAATGACCCTAAATAACCCCCTGAAACCAAAACAGTTTCTATGCATTTTTTGTTTCTGTCACATTTTTACTGCACCTCTATGGAAACAGCACAACCATGAATCTAAATGTAGAGAAAACTCAAAACTTTCCTCTATGTCATAAAGTCTAAAATCTAGTTTGGATCTTCATATACAATGATTGTCAATATCTGCCCCAGTCAAATGTTCTTCCAAACAACAGAAGCTGTACAAAGTGACTAGAAGCTACACACATCACTATTATTAACTATTATGTCAGTGTTACCAAAGGGGATTAGCTGGAAGAACAGGACTGAAGCCAATGAGACATTTATTGTGTTCTTCAATGTGCTATGAGAGTAACAGACCTGGTACACCTGGTTTGGGTGGTTTAGCTCCACCACCAGCACCTCCCAGTCCAACTGCAGAGGGATACGTCAGCCCACCTGCAACAACAGGGAAAAGAGCCTCTAACTTGTACTTGCAGCTGTCCTGCACAGAATTATAAAAAAAATGAAGACTAGAAACTCTGTGAATAATGCCTCCACTGAAACATCAGTTGATTTCCTTCATCAAAGGCAGCTTCTCATTCCTGATTCGCTTTGACCCATAAGAGACTTATCAGCATGCTGGCCAGCTTCCTGCACAGGAAAAGCGATGTGATGGCATCTCCTGACCAACTGTCACTTTGAGCGCTGGGCAGAATGACGTAGTTGTTTTTGAAAGTTGGCGGAACATTGTGTCTTAATGTTGGAACGTAAATAAGTACATTTACTCAAGTACTGCACTTAAGTACAATTTTGAGATATTTCACTTAATTACTTCAATTTTGTGCAACTTTATGCTTCCATTTCATTATATGTTAGAGGGAAATATTGTATTTTTTACTCCACCACATTTATTTACTTTTAAGACGAATATTTTGCCTAATGTATATTACAATAAACTTTTAAAATACAACACATTGTTAAAGATTATAACATTGGTTTCCAGTCTTTGTGGTTTCTTTTTGTCCCTTTTGTTTAATCCTTTAAAAAGCAGCTTGGAGTTAGGGATCACATTTCAGTTTATGAGCTTGACCAAATGGGGATTTGTGTCTTAAAATTTCTCACATTTTCGTTTCAAAAGATGTTTAAATGTTCTAATGCTTCACAGAAATGCAAGGATTTAAGAAAAAGGGCAAACTGTCTTCTCTACTATTAACAATCATGTGAAGAGCCCTAGCATTAATCTGGTGTCACTGTATATAAACCTGGATATGAAGTTCCAACCTCCAGCAGCTACAACAGTAACCTGTTGATTACACTCCCACGCTTCACTCTTGAACATCTAATGATGTAACATACAGTAATATATCCATCAGAGAGACCAAACGAGGACTTTTACTTTCATACTTCAACTACATTTTGCTGCTAATACTTGTATTATGTACTTTTGCTTCAGTGTGATTCTTCATGCAGGACCTTTTCTCGAAATGGAGTACTTTTACATTGTCACATTGGTACATTTGCTTCAGAAAAGGATCTGGATACTTCCTCCATGATTGCATACTAGTGTTGTCAGGCTCTTTTCTTTCAATATAGACTCTATGCCCCTGGATCATGAAGGCAGTGAAAAGCAACAGAATTGTCTGGGCACTGGCTCATTCAGGAAATATCAATAATAATCATAAAAATCTAATCATAATAAAAAAAATACCATTCACAACTATTTTTTAACTTTGAAAAGTGTAGGATGGAGCACCATTTATGCTTATTTTCCTATTAATTATTGTTCTTGTGGTTAACTGAAAAAGTTGAAACAAATACAGGTGAGTTCTGACCTTGATAACCTCCTGCTGCCAGTGGGATTCCTGCTCCACCTCCTGCTCCACCCACAACTACAACAAAGCACAATACAACAATGCATGAGCCACATGCAAAAAAGTAGAAACTTCCTCAGAAAACAGAAATATTTCAGAAGAACTGATGGCGTGGTTTGTTTAAAGCAGAAACGTACCTGGAGGCTTCAGAGGCTTCGCTCCAGGCAGTGTTCCGACTCCAGCTCCAGGGCCAGTACCTGCACCATAAGGCACTGAAGCACAGGGAGGATAAAGATAATAGTTACAGCTGCATAAACCATATCTATAAATGTTAAAAAGAACATATGAGAAACTTACCTCCATAGGTTCCACCATAGGGATATCCGCCTCCGCCTGGAATGACGCCAACTCCAGCACCTGTGGAGAAGAAGTGTTTGAAGACTGTTGGAGTGAAGATTCAACAGAAAATTCCAACACAATGAGGAATAAAATTTCTATTCTTATGCATGCTGGTATTAACCTCACCAGATACGTTTTATTGTAAGAATAGTTTTAATTACTATGAAAATACACAGATTACTAAATCCAGCTGTCAGTCAAAAGAATTATAAGTGATTAGACGTCTTATTAAAGGGCAAGCTGAGATAAATTCAAAACATCTATTTCTATAGTTCAGAAAAAAGGGGAGCTATAAAAAGCATTCTACTTCTTGATCTATCAATTAAAGGAGGTACTGTCATCATAATTACATATGATCAGTCTTCATTTTTTCCATTTTTGTACATATGTAAATATGAAATACTTATTGTGATTTTATTTTAACTGCAATCTGTTAGCATATAATTTTCCTCATATTGTAAGGAAAAAATATCTCTCTCTCAATGCTTTGGCACTACTGTTAACATAAAAATTCATTTGGACAAAGCATATTAAATTGAGCTGAAATGAATTGGAATCTAATAGATATTTAACCATTTTAATCATGAAAAACACCTTCAACTTGGTCTCATGTCCCATCGCACAATCAAAAAGTGCAGAATAGCAAAAACATCCAAAAACTGCAAACCTGCAGATGCACAAAACTGATGACTGTTCAGCCTATTAAAGGCATAACTGGGCTGAGAAAAGTCTGATGCAGCGTTTTCTTAAACATAAACTGGTGGTTTTATTGATCAAAGTTCAGTCATTAACTGTCTCGACAGAATCTGCATGTCTGGATAAACAAAGCTTGTGTGTGAAAAATGGATCTACAACAGTGAATGGGAACATAAAACGTGTATTGATTACTTCATTTGGATGTTTTGATTTTAAAATGTCAAAGCTTGATGGCGTTAACATGCTGTGTGTGCATGTGTGTGTACTGTGTTGTACTTCAGAGAAAACCTAGCAGCTGCAGCAATGATCTTGTGATTCCGAGCGAGCAAATTTAACACCAGTGCTGAAATGAACATGCAACTTTTAACTGCACCACATTGTGCTTTTTAATATACAATTACATAATTAGTAAAATTCTTTATATAAATAAACGTAGAAATGATATGCGTCTAGATGCATACATGTGGCTAGATGTTTGCAAACACTGCATTGTACCATATCTGAAAGATATACAACTCTTTTTTGCCACATGGTTCACATAAATAATGGAAGTTTTGCTCTTTTTTTATTTCTGACAATATTATTCAGTGTGGAATTGAAGCATTTTTGTTGAATTTAGCACTAAATAGTCAATCTACAATATTCAACCTGATTCATTCTGTGTGCACTTGAATGAGAAACCTTAATGTGATGAGAGGCTGATGCATAGCAGACCACAAGCAAAAGGATCATAGATTGATTAATAGATGAATATTATGTTGCAACATATTAAACATTATCATGCACATATATCACATGCTTTACAGCAAAGAGATTTAGCTCATCTTTACCTGGTACATATGGTTTCGGTGGTTTGACCCCTGTGCCGACACCAACACCTAAAAACAGCAGTGTTAAGAATTATTATAGTCAAAGGCAGCAGCTGTTGTATTTGTCTTTGTCTCCACCAAATGGCCAGATGGATGTATTGTACTGTCATTAAGTTTTAGTTACAAAGCACACCTTAGACTAAAGTAATAGCTAATGATGTGCTTAAACCAATAAAAATATAAATATTGGCCTACCTCCAGGCTGTTGAACTCCAGTTGCAACTAAAGAAGAAAAGAGACTCATGCATGAACTATCAAACATTCTATAATGTAAAATGTGTTAATAAATGAAGGTAAATGGACTCAAAGACAAAATCCTCACAAAAAAGAAACCTATTAAAACTGTTAGAAAACAGTAGAGCTTGTCAAGAGAACAAATAATTATTGTGCAAGAAGCCAGAAGGGGAAAAAAGTATTCGTATGCAATACTAACACCAAAGGATGGTTTCATCTAGTGTGCATATTCAAGACCTAACTACAACTAAACAAGTTCAATTTGTCTCTAGAAATATTGTTTGACATAAAATAATTTATTAGTTATGATCATTTGTTCATTCTGCATGACTTTCCTTTTAACTATGAAAGTTTCAGAGCCTCCTAAAGATCACAGCAAAAATATTTTGAGGACTATGTTTGCACTCCTTCACGATATGTTTTACCCTCCTACTGACCCATATGAACAGTTACCATAATGGTCCAGTCAAGTTACATACACTCCCTTTTTAGGAACAAACTCAGCAAGAGTGGAAAGATGAAGGTGATGATGCAACACTTTAAATTATGTTTCTGTTGCTAATTATTAATTTTAAAAGGCTGATCTGTGACAGTATCCAGCTGCTGGCTGTGACGGTGAAGCTGGGCCAAATATATGGTTATTGCTCGGAATTTGGCTGCTGCTGTGGTTTAATCTGTGCTGCTGTGGATATGTCCAGCTGCTACCATTTGAACCTGTGGTGCTTCCATGACAGATTTGTTTGTTTGGGGGTTCAGGAATGCAGCAACTTTAATACAACCCTCAGCCAGAAAGTTATCACTGCAGCCCCTCATGGCCTAGTGCTGCATGTAAGCAAGCAATAAAAGTCAATGTGTTACAGATATAATCGTAACATTGGCTTCTGCCACAGCTGCAGGTGACTTTGACTCTCTGTAGTCATGACAGTATGAGCTGTGGCCTACTGTGATACACTACTGAGAGGAAACACAAAACTACTGAGAGGGAAGGCACAAGTATTGTGGGGTGTAATATCATTGTGTGTCAGCGGATTTCCTGGTCTGTTATCCTTCATATTTGGGAGTGTGCAGCAAAGGCAGTGCCTTCTGAGCAATTCTGATGACTACAGATGTAAACAGAGACTGTACACTTACTAGGTTGACCTTGGCCTGTCGGACCAACTGAAAACACAAGCAAAGATTACATCTGTTAACACTGAGCGTCTATTAAAAGATGGGTTAAGAAATCCGCTGAGAACAGATGATGGTTAAATGGAACTAAATATCTGATACAAATCCAACTGAATTTTGAAAACTCATTAACAGCAAAGAATCAATGCTGAAAAAACAGAACTGTTCTTACCACCAGAGGGAGCTGCAACACCAGCTCCACCTGAAACATAAAATACACAACTTAATGTTTTGTCATGTCTAATCTCAGAATAAAAGTCATTCTGTTGTGTATTTTTTTATTGTTTTAATATGAAAAGAGTGACATATTTACCAACACTAGTGCCAGCTGTGAAATAAATAAAAAGCATCATCATGTTAAACTATCCACAATGACTTTACTTTAATTAATTACAGTAATTTACAATGTTACTTGTATTACTTACCACTCGGCTGAATAATTCCACCAGCAACTGTAAAAAGAGTCAAGAATAAAAGTTCATGAAAACTGCTTCAGACATATCACAGAGTTAAATAAAATAACTGCAAAGACATGCACTTATTTTTGACCTACCGCCTTTTTCCAAACAGCCACCATAAGAGTACGCAGTGCAAAAAAGAATGAAAATGCAAAGTTAGTTTATTTGTCTTTCAAATTATTTTGTCTGTTTGAATTAGTTGCATTAAAAATAATGAAATCTACAGTTTCAATTACTAATGAAATTATACATGAACAACATTACATGAATTACCTGCATTTTGGAATTGTAAGAAATAAGATAATACAAAACAAATTTGGACACAAAGAGAAAATTGTATAAAGACTGCAGGCATACAAAAGAACTATCTACTGAAAGGTGATATTCTATAGCAGCCACTTCACAGTTTACATGAATACATAATGAAAAAAATAGATTATTATAATCTGACTTCCATGGCAATGACATTAAGAACTTAAAACTACATAACTATCACGTAAACCCCCACTACAAAACCCAAACTGATGAGTGCAAGCATGCATGCTGTCAAAGCAAAGCTCTGTAGACCTTAAAGGCAAACAAAATGGCATTTTGACAAGATGACATGACCTTTATCTATGACTATTCACAGAATGACTTGAGAATTAATAAACTTTCCAGACATTGTTACGTATGATATTCATGAAAGAAATCCATCAAGCAGAACAAGCTGTTAGTAAAAGGAAAAGGAGTGATGTTGTGAAAAAGAGAAAACTGTGGCCATGATTGGCATAATACTGGAGGGACAAGACAGGTTAAATTAACTTCTCTTCCAGCATTACATGACACCTGCATTCAAAAATTTTGTCTGGCAAAAACTTCTAAAATCACTCATCAGAGTGCATATAATGCTGAAAGATGTAACTGAATGTCCTTACAGTCCCAAAGAAAAGCAGAGTTCTACTTTGTAAACTAACTAATGCATGCCAAAGACAGATTCATACAATCTTTCCAAACAGTATTTGAGAAGGTGAACAACTCTCTATAAACCTGAGAATAAAAGTTTCGTACTGTAACATCTGGTCTTATAAGTTCTATATGATCCGACTGAATAATTACAGATTATTAAGATTTAGGTATCTTTTTTGTATTTGTATACCAAATTTTGCTTTTAAGATTTTAATCTGTAATCATTCAAAATCCTACACCTGGCAAATGAAGTGTCTCTTTTGTGAGAGGCAATCACGTTCACAAATACTGAGTGGACTGACCCATACTATATCAGAGTGGCAAATGAATTACAACTCAACTACAGTTTGTTTCCATATAGAATTAATGCCACGTATTTCACTTCATGGTTAGAGGCTTTATGCAGACAGTAAATCTTACTGGGCTGTGGGACCTCTGGGGTCTTGCTAAATGCAGTAATAGGCGTGGGCCCTGCCAAAAAGACAACAGGTTCCAGTTTCATCCATTGTGCTCGAAACAGGCGCAGAATGAGAGAGGTCAGAAAAGGCAGAAGCTGTGAAATGGACCTTGATACTGCCACAGCTGGGAGGCTGTAAGCTAGAGATGGTCATTAGCTGGCAGCACTAGCAAAACAATCAACATGTGAGCTTTGTGGGCAGAGAATGGATGAAGAACATGTGGGATGGATGGCGGTGCAGGTTAGCTGCCTGTGCCCTCCTGCATGGCATGTGCTGAGGCTCTCAACGTATTGTTGTTTGCTTGTTTTACAGTACTGTAGGTTGTAGCTGTAAAATCTTCCACCCATATCCTGTGTATAATTACTGCAAAAAGACATGAATGTAAATGTGTGTACAGTAAATGTTTTTGGAAACAGGTTTTGATATTTCAGTGTACCTGGTCGAGCAGTTCCACCGAGACCGACATCCTTTGCTGTAAACACAATAAAACATCACTCACAATGAAAAACTTATATAAAGAAAGGTGCATTTAAGAAAATAAGGAACACTATTCTATCTGGTTTTCCAGGAACACTTAGACCACCTGGTACAGCAGAACCATTCGGAGCAACACCGACCGCTGTATCTGGGGTTGCCCCTGGCACAACCCCTGTTCCAGCAATGCCTCCTGCAAGAGTTCAACAGTTTGATGCCAGTTTATGACACAAACAGCATTGTCAAAAGCTTGTCTCCTTTTAAAATGCTCACACTAATGTCTGTTCTATCCCTGAGTTTTCACTCTCCATTGAAACTACTATAGACTTGTAGGACTTGACATCTTGACACCAAATGTTACTAAATTTTAAGGATGATTTACACTCAAAATCTTCTCCTACTGGTGGACAGCGTGTGCAACAAAACAAACTTTTTTATAACGGTTTTAAGCTACGCCTTACCATGCTTTGGTGGTTTAACACCGCCTGGATATCCTGCCAAAAAAAAAACAAACAAAAACATACCCTCATCAATATATATATATATCATGACACTTAGTATGATTTTGCATAAATTCTGAGATAAACAGTAGTGACAGTGACATCAGGTTGTTTTCAACTGCAGGAGCTTGCAAGCTGTTGAGGAAAAAGGCAACAACAAGCGCAGTTTTTTCTACACTTTCTATGTCCTCGTCGAGTAGCAGTCTTCTTCACTTTAACATCAAGAATGTGTAATTCACCATATAGGCTACCATAGCAAACCATCCATTGTTCTATTTCTTACATGCTAACAGAGTTACATCTAGTAAATTCTATTTGTCTTTTTGTTTTAAAGCAGCAAAAGTCCACATTGCTATTGAAGCTTTGGTATCACCACAACGGAATTAGAAAGGCTGAGAGGGCCAATTACAACTGGGCCACACCACCTTCCACCTATCCCAAGTTCCTGCAGTAGGAAGCTGCCTTATGGTAAATATAATAGTGGTCCTAGTGTCTTTTCATACATGTGCATATGCAGTACCTGAAACCCCAACCCCTCCAGGTACACCACCAGGTACTCCTCCAGTTCCTAGTCCTGCTCCTCCTGGCAAACCTAATTAGAGATAAAAGAGTGAGTTGGAACAATTGTACAAAAATGGCTCCTCAATTTTAAAATTATTCTCAGTTAACACACAAGAAAATTAGTATAAATGAGCAGCTTATACACTAAGAAAGAAGTGCGATAAAGTGATTTGAACATTTATTTTAAATTATTTCAAATTCTGCAGTTCAAGTCAGAATTATACACTACTGAATATCTCTTGATATGTCATATTTGTGTTTTGGGCTTATTTCTTTAATACCATATTTAGCAGCTTTTGCGGCAGCAGAATATTGTCCACCTCCTGGTACTCCTCCT